AAGTAATAACCTGTTTATTAACTAAAACAACGCCTGAGAAAAAAGTGCCTGAAGGAAAGAGTAGTCAAGTAGCCACAAATATTTTAGGTTAGCGATATACTTAGAAAGAAAGGAAATAATATCCAATAATAAGCCTGTTTATCAGCTAAAGAAAACTTGAGAAGACAAGAGAAGTAAAATAGCCAGAAAAGAGTGACACGTAAATAAAAAAGTGGAAAAATATGAATATAAGCAAACAAAGGAGAAAGAGTTGCAAGATTGGAGGGCAGTATAGACTCAAATTGAAGCATGTACGTTAAAGCATTTGTTTTAGTGTGTCTATAAAATCACTGCCTGGGAAAAGAAGAACACAATGGCAGTAAAATAGCCAGAAAGGCCCAATAAAAATGGGAAGTAATATGAATATATCTAGCAAAGGAGAGAAAGAGTAAAGACTGTGAAAGGAAATAATCCGCATTGTAAGATAAGAAGGCAGTATCAAAATAAAGCATATGCATTAGATCACAGCACAGTCTGGGAATAACAGAAATGTGTGCTAACGCTAACAACAGCCAAGAATCAGCCTGTTCAGCTACATTAGCGGGATATAAAGTGAAGCAGATACATTGGTATAAGTGAAATTTAATTCTGCCTGGAAAGAGCAGAAATACACGCTAAGACACAGNGGGCTGGCTTTTTAAATGCCAGTTGAGTAGCACTTGAAATGTTTGGCTCTATGAAACCTGATGTACTTATATGATTCTGTTTTCTTAAAGGTTGTATCTTCCTGGTCGAATGCACTTATTGTAAGTCGCTTTGGATAAAAGCGTCAGCTAAATGCAATGTAATGTAATGTAATGTAATGTACGTTACAGCATTTGTTTTAGTGTGTCTCTAAAATCACTGCCTGGGAAAAGAAGAACGCAATGGCAGTAAAATAGCCAGAAAGGCCCAATAAAAATGGGAAGTAATATGAATATATCTAGCAAAGGAGAGAAAGAGTAAAGACTGTGAAAGGAAATAATCCGCATTGTAAGATAAGAAGGCAGTATCAAAATAAAGCATATGCATTAGATCACAGCACAGTCTGGGAATAACAGAAATGTGTGCTAACGCTAACAACAGCCAAGAATCAGCCTGTTCAGCTACATTAGCGGGATATAAAGTGAAGCAGATACATTGGTATAAGTGAAATTTAATTCTGCCTGGAAAGAGCAGAAATACACGCTAAGACACAGAAATGAGAGCCAAGCATCAGCCTGAGCAGCTAAGCGCCAGTCGAGCGTAACGGTATATTTAATACTGAATGTGACATTAAACTAAAGAGCAGGCCAAACTTAGCCTACTTAAGGTAACAAATGACCCAGCGTTCTGCCGGCAGAGCCGCTTAACTGCCCGCCTCCGCGCTCCTTTATAGCCGCGTTTAATGTTTCTGTACCTGAGCCTCGTTTCCTCACAGAACGCCTCGGGGCTGAGCAGCTAAACACATCTCATTATTCACAGCATGGGTGTGAGAGAAAGAATTTACGTGGTTAATTGGTTACTCTGTATACATGTACGCTGCGTGTCGTCCTGACCCCCTGAACCGAAGGATTGTCCAATGAGACGTTAGGAGTCGAGGGTCACCGGCTGGTAGTCAAGCCTCATTGGCTGACTGATTAACGGCGGCCATTAAGGGTGCACAGCAGGGAAATAACGGTGTCGTTCAGGCTGGTGAATGCTGATTAAAGCGTCGCTAACAACACGTGCGTACGCGGCACATCTGTTAAGAGAATAAATAACGGAGAAGGATCCCGACGCAGCAGGCTGAAGACACAAAGGTCTCATCACTGTAGGGTTATGGTACTGTGACTGTAAACATACAAACTGCTTAATGTTGGCAGCCACTGAAAACCTGTTTATGTTGCTTAAACTTGCTCCAATGTAAAAAGTACTTTGTATTTAAAGTTCTCATTTACATATAAAT